AACCTCAGGGTTCGGTTTCCTTCGGCATGTGAGAAAGTCCATTTAGCCCTTCACCCATTCAACATATTATTTAGTATCTGCAACGTTCGCGAAAACACACTGGGAACTATGGAGGTACTAAAAGGGGAACAACACTGTGTGGTCACAGCCTCTTGCAGGTCATAGGAACAAACCAGGCCATGCCACTCTGTGACTGTCTCTAAAGCACGTGATGTTACTCACAGATACTGTCTGTTTCCCAAACCTTTCACAGGATGTGGTCAGGTAATGCTGTTCACTGGACGCTTTCACAGATGGGAGAGCAGCAAAGATGTGAAAGCAAGAGACTTAGCTACTCAACAGGAAGGGCTTCTGATTTATAGGTCAGGATTAGGAAAAATATGTAAATGTCTATTCTTCCCACAAAACGGCTGTTTTTGCAAATGCTGTTATGTAGATTGATTAATTTCCAAAATGAAGTTGAAGTTAAATTGATTGAGCTCAACGAATAAATTCAGTAAAAATGCACACTGAACATATATAATTCACAATTGGCGCTCATTATTCAACCAAGAAACAGATGAGATTCCACAGACATCCTGTTAACGGTACATGGATGTATTTTAAGATGGAGGAGACTGGCCAAAAAAGTGTCCATAATTACACGAACGCACTCTGTTCTCAGGGTAATTCGGGGGGTGGAGGGGGAGGTGGAGGGGAAGTAAGTTTTCATTTAAAATTGTTCAAGATTCCTCTTTTAAATTAAAAAATCCTCAGTGGGGCCGCATATGGCCTGGAATCAGACCCCAAGGTATTCATTTTCCAGATTCACATGAAAGACTTCAAAAGCTGCCTTATGTGAAGTGATTTTATTAATGATATAAACTAGCCTATTCTTTATCAAGCACTCCTTATTTGGGATCTTTGCTCCATGCACACATATCTCCATTTTAAAAAATACCTTTCAGCGCTGCCCACCAAGACTGTTGACTTTTCTAAATGTGCTTGATAAATCAAGGAAGACATGAAGCATACGATTTTAGAGCTGGAAGATGAAGATTTCGGCCCCTACAGAGCCCTGGGGCTGCTTGGAGCTTTGGCTTAGGAACAGAAGTGTTGTGAGGCTATGTCTTGAAAACCATGGGTCTAAATTGAAATTAAGGCCAGTCTAGAAAGATGACTCTTTTTTTGAAGATGCCACAGATCTCTTTAGGTACACTTTCTAGGATCTGACATCAGACAAAAAGCTGAGACTTGAGGATCTGGAGAATCGCAACTGTCTGCCCCCAACCCAATGTCATCGAACTCTCGGCTCCTTAGTGTCTTAACTGTACCAAATTTCTGACTCAGACTAGGTCATCCGAAGCTCCCTTTTCATTTCTAAAGTTCAAATTTTCACACATTTTTCCTAATATTTACTCTTATATTTACCTGATACCTATATTTATTCATCAGCAGCAAAACATATCACACGATGCCATTAGCACACAGCCCAAAACACTATTAAAAAACTTCTTTGAATTAACATTTTTGGGCTGCTTATCACGTGCTAATTTTTGTGCAAAGCATTGACAATAATTATTCCGTTTGCTCACGGTCCTGAAGGCAGAAAGTGGTCAGGCTGGGATTCGAATCCAGCAGACTCTAGTTCTACTGAGCCCTGAGATGCGCGTATCTGTACGTGAATCACAACAATCTTCGGGGGATGGAGATTCAGGAGCTGTGGGAGGCAGAGCGGGGTCTCCTGTAGAGAAGCTCCATGTAAGGCCTTGCCTACCCCGAACACATCCCGCCACCCCCACCCCGCACTGTGGGGGGCCATGACTACCGGCACAGAATCGTATGCTATCACCCTCAGGAGCACTTTTTAGTCGTAAGTGGGTGGGGGCAGAGGAGAGAAAGCCACGACACACACATACATAACAGTCACCCAAAAGCATCCAAGCACACATCATCATGATTTATTTGAATTTTGCAGACAGTGTGGGGAGTCTCGCTTTTTCCTTTCTTTCCAGTCAGAACTGTAATTTTCCCCGCTCATCACCATGCTCAGTACCGTAAACATTCATACATCGTCAATTTAAACAACACACATACTCTATCCCATTCATCGAAATGTAAATGATTACAGAAGACACCAAGGTGGAACCACTTTGAAAGCCATAACATTTATTGAAGAGTGGACATATGTTTGCAAATCATGGCAACGCATGGGAGTGTATTCCACGGTTCATTGTGCTGTTCCAATGAGGCTTCATAGCACCTGCTCATACAGCCCCTTTTTAACACAATAACTGAAAGGGATAAAAAAGTGTCGATTGCAATTACATTTACAAAACCAAATGTCAGCTTTCGTTTAGAATGAATCTGGGCTCGGCTACTTAGACATACACGTGTTCATTTTTCAGCCCCACACACCCATTCCTGTCTGGGCAGAACTTTTCAATGAATAATGGCTTTTGTAACCCAAACAGTAGCTCAGAATATGGTCAAGCTTAGGGAACAGAGCAACAACTTCACTGAACAACAGAATTTCTAACCTGTGCCCCAATCAATGTATCACTTTGCGCTCAAGATATTCAACACAGCATTTCATTTTTGGAATAATAAGGGAAAACTCATCTGACAAAGGGCATGATACAGAATACATTTATAAAAGACATTTTTCACCTTAAATAATGTTTGAAAGTTAACTTTCTTCCCTTTGTTCCAGTGGAAGAAATTTTGGCCAAATTGTCAAAAAAAAAAAAAAAAAATACCATCCAGCTCTTATTGTGGAATTTAACCACCCATTTTCCTCTAAAAGTTATCTTTTAACAACTACAATAAAAAATAAAATTTCACTTCCAGGAATTTAAACAATTTAAAAGAAAATAGCTATTTTGATAAATAAAAAAAGACATTCATTTTTCTGAACTACCATTCTGTTTTTTTCTTTTTGCCTTTCATGGAAATATGTAAAATAATGATCATGGAGTAGAAAGTTGCTTGATTTTACCTCCTTAAAGATTAATAGTATAAAGCTGAAAAGGATTTTCTAATGAAAGAATCTGACAGTGTAAAAAATCTAATGTAGAAATATCTAATTGATGACCATTGAAAACGCTAGAAAGAGCAAAATTAGAAAATTCTGAAAGAGAAAGCCTCGCTGATTTGCTTTGCAGTACAAAACTTATTTTGTTTTATTTAATAAAGCATCTATTGTGGCTTTATTCTAAGCACAAGTTGTCAGCTGATCTCTTCTAAGAATTCCCTGGTACTCGGCCCTTGGTCTGAATGGGGGACTGACAATTTAAGGTCAGGTCCTCGCTCATGTCTCATATATGTTCTTGGGTTTAATATTCGACTCTTTATTCCTTATTTACTTTGAAATTCAGAAATCTTCCACCTGCCCAAACATAATATTTTGATACCTACTTAAATGTTACATGTAAAAATTTATATAAACCATATATTTTGTCCAAGAATTTAATTTTCTTTAACCTCTCTTTTTATTCTTCTTCAACGTCTACGCAAGAGACCTGTTTACGACACGCAGACTCTTCAGAGAGAACAATACAGAAACGCGCATCTTGGTTTGCTGGAAGGTGTTTCCCAGGCACGTCTGGTTTCTCTTCACATAGGAAAGAGTTTGCTGATCCACCATCATCTGCTTCATATCTTGGCTGGATTCGTCCCAGAAGAAGCTGTGGAGGAATGCCCATTCGCACTCCTAATTTGTAAATCACAGTCATAAAATCAGAGGAAAATGCACATATGCCACTCACTAATTTGCACACCAAAATTGTAAATCTAAAGCTGTTATAAAAAGAGGAAAGTTCAAGAAATACCTTTGTATGTGTGTGTGTGACTATTTCCCCCCACTTGAAAAGTGCTGGCTTTATGAACTTGCTCACTGCTTTTAAAAATCACATTCTTTTCATTCAATCAATAAACTTTTACTGAACGCCTACTCTAAGTGGCCACTGTAATCTCTTTTTAATCCTTCCTAAAAGAAAGCAGAGGGGCCCTATTCAGTGAATTTAAGGCACCAATAAGGACATGTCAATTTACGCTTCAGTTTTCCCGTCAGTTTTAAGGTAATCTCTTTTATACAAGGACAAATAAAGAAGGTAGCTGAGAGCAAAAAGGGAAGGGAGAGAAGTCCTCCGAACCTACAATGTGTTGAGCACCCGGCCAAGAACTGTGTGGGTGTACGTTGCAGAATTCTTAAGCCTCTAAAGAACCATAAGAGGTATTTATTTTTCCCATTTAATAGACCAGGATAAAGAGCAGTGACGAGTTTAATAATTGCTCAAGATGATTCCCACGCTACACTATAGCTTATGTTCTTAACAGATTCACCACAGGAAAAAGCTACTAACACGATTCGGGGATTTGAACTAAGGTCTGAGGAACTCCGAAGTAAAAACTCAACGCTTATTGTTTTCGTTGTTGATCTCACAACACCAAGAGGCTGTAAATTTCTCTGCTTGAGAAACTACTCGAGGACGGCCATTCTCTGTTGCTGTAAATGCCTTTGGTGAGGAAGCAGCCCTTAAAATTATGCATTCCCTACACCAAGAAATATTTTACGTGAATAAAATCTTTCTTCCGTCACTCTCCAAAATTCTGTTTTAAGATGAACTGAAGAAAATTTTGCTATAATCCTCCAAATTCCTCGATATTATGAAGTAAAAATCTGTAATTAATCTCTTTTGACGTTCTAGGAAACACAAATCAAGATAATCCTCTTGTTTTGATAACATATTTGTCCCTCAGCTACTTCCTTCACCTTAAAAAAATTAAGGGGCCAGCCCCATGGCTGAGTGGTTAAGATCGTGTGCTCTGCCCAGGGGCTCAGGGTTTCGCTGGTTCGGATCCTGGGCACGGACTTGGCACCACTCATCAGGCCATGCTGAGGCAGCAACTCACACAGCAGAATTAGAAGGACCTACAACTAGAAGATACAACTATGTACTGGGGGGCTTTGGGGAGAAAAAGAAAAAATTAAAAAGAGAAGATTGGCAACAGATGTCAGCTCAAAGCCAATATTTAAAAAAAAAAATTAAGAATATCAAGAATGCTAGATAAAAGAAAAAAAACACTGTGAAAAAATTACTCTTCTTAAAAGTAATTATCTCCAGATACAATTCTTGATAAACCTACTTCCTTTTCTTATATTTCAACTCCTACCTCATTTTGATTTAATGCAAAGGAATTAATGGACTTCCTTTAATACTTCTCTGCTTATTTTGAAGCTTTCTTCTTCTAGCTTTAGGTAAGAAGTCTTTAAAATCCCTTGGCTATTTCACCGTTCTAGATTGTGACTTTTAATTTAGGTAGAGAATTATTATTTTCAACTGCCAACAGGAGACACAAAGAGAAGATTTAAATTTGGCAGGAGAATCAAAGTTAGATGTTTCACAAGTAGAAAATGAAACTTGAAATGACCAAAGAGCCCCCTGGTTGGTTGCAGTAGATTGCATCATAATGCCCATGGTAAAAATAATGGATTTTTCAGAAACTGGGTCTTTTCTAGCAACAGTGCAACAAATGCATGTAAATGTACATCTGTGAAATAAATCTGCCACAGCTGCTGCACCTGGAAATGAGGTCTCGAACAGGAAGCCATTTATTATCATAATAAAGTGTATCTGTAATCTATACAGACCCCCCATTCCTTAAAAAAAAAAAAACCCAGCTTGGAAATTTTCAAGACACTAGCTGACTTGAAAAAGAAAATGAGGAAAGGGTGATTAGAGAATAATCCTTATGAAATTGCAAGCTATGTATAAAGGACAACTAATATACACTTTAGAGCTTAATTTTCTTGCATTTGTATTTAAGAATGAGACTGATTTTACCCAGTGCCCAAATTCATCTCTAGAAGTACCTAAACTACGCAAACCTTAGATTTTTAAAGCAGTGTTGTTGTCAAATCGTCCTTGAAGATCTTCACGGCCTGCCCATTCCTAGGGACCAGTATATGCACCAGGAAGAAATAAATGTAAATTTTTCCTTTGAGCGTTTCCTACTCTTGAGCTCACAGTGCTGACAGAAACTTCCATCTCTTATGTACTCCTAACTGGTGCAGGTTAGATTCTGTAATATGGTCCTGCTCTGCAGCTCTCAGAAGCTGCCTGCCCCAGGAGCTTGTTCCACATCTATACCTTCTTTGATGATCTCCTTTCAACTAAGTTTTTGGTCCCATCAACATGGTTGCATTTTCTAAGCAGAAAATAAAACTACCAACATCCAAAGGCAAGAGTAAGAGGAATTAGAAAAACTCCAGATTCGTCTTAATCTCCTCCTCCCACCTCATTCTACTCTCCTTTTTGGCTGTGGTTATTCACGGCTCTTAAGGCCCACTGCCACTGCCACCTCCCTGCTCCCCCAGGCCTGAACTCAGAAACCTGGGGAGTAAGGTGGGATAAGGCACTGCGCCGGCCCTGGCAGTCCCCAGGAAGAGAGGAAAACGAGCTATCCAGCTCATGGCTGGCTCTTGCAAGACATTCTTATTGGTCCTAACACTAAACTTCAGCCACATTAAATTTAAAAAGAGAAGTTAGAAAAAGTTTTCTTCCCATAGTGATGTTCCTTAATTCACCAGCTTTATGATTGTACCTATATATGAAATAACTATATATAAAGCACCTTAAAATAAGAATTCCCTCACCAAACTATTCTATATAGAATTATATAAAATATCTCAACCTATGAAAGCACAGTCCCATATGAAGTGAAAAAAGATGTATGTTAAAATACAAAATTAAAGCTACTATTCTCAAGTTAAAAGCAAATTTGGAAATGATGTAATTACTACCAAATGCCAGACACCTGCTTTTTGTCTTGTGCGGAACTTAAAATTAGTTATTACCCAAACGCCTTAGCCAACTTCATTGATTTCCATCAAGGATTCATAAAATGGAGCGGAGAATCCCCAAATACGCATAAGACAGCATCTCACAATGGTGTGTCTTTTAAAAATGAACCCAGTACTTCTCTACGTGTGATATTTCACTGCCTTATTTTCTAGCTCTCATAAGTTAGTTACCCAGTGCACTAAGTTGATTATTCCAGAATTTTTCCAAGCCAAAAGTTAAGCTGATGAGTATTTCCAGGGTCATCATCCATTCCCCTTTTTGAAAGAAGGCTCTAAATCTGCCCTTTTCCAGTCTTCAGGCACCTCATCAGTCCTCCACGAGCTCTCAAAAATGATATCTAGCGGTTCTGTGATGACTTCGGCCAATTCATTAAGTACTCTAGGATGCCAGCCATGGGGACCTGTGGATTTGAACATATCGGGGTTATTGACGTTCTGCTTTACCCATCCTTCCCTAGTCCATCCTGGAGTCCTGCTCCTATTTTTAAGTCATACTTGTCCCTCTCTGGTTCCCACATGGACTTTTGAAAAACAGCTTTAAGTCTCTGCTTGATATTGATCAGTTTCCTCTTTGAAGGTAATAAATGAAAAACGTATTTTATTTTTCTCAAGCCTATGTTTTGTTGGTCTACTTCTTTTTCCTTATGTGTTTCTTGTAAGAATAGGAAAGTAAAGTGAAACATCAGATAAACACATATCTTGTGATAATTTGCCTTCCTACATCATATCACTCAATACTACGCTTTAGCAACCTAGTCACAGAGTAGTCAACACACTGCAAGACATTCCAGAGGCTGCTTATCTCATGCTCAGAGGGTCCATATCTGTTCAACTTGTGTCTGCAAGTGCTAATTCAAAATGTACCTTCCAAAAGAAAAAAGATTCACGACCATCTTTCATCATAATTATTTGTATGCATAAACAGTAACTTTTTCACATAGGCATTTAAAATGAATAGCTGTGCATGAGCTGGGAAGAGATTAGCAAGGATTTCTCACAAAGCAGTAACCTCGTAGAATTCATTTGTTGGTGTGTGGTCATCTGCATCAGTGTTCTAGCATGGATATTATACTAATTATCTCCCAGCTCTGATTGGTGCTGACAGTTTTAACCCCTTCAGCGTCACAACGATTCCTCCAAACTTGAAAGACAGAAACAGATCATAGTTTCCTGCCCATCTGTCACGGCAAGGCCGTGTGCCCAAGATCCATTACAGATTAGAATGGACAAAGGAGAGGAAGAAAAGGAGAGTGCATAGGAAGAATGAGGACCCCTGAGTCTTCCCATGTTTTTGGATATGACAGGTGAACTGTGTTGCTTAGGTTCAACTGTTTACTTGCCGTTTTTTTAACTAGAAAAGCTTTTGGAAAAGGTTGAATCAATTTTGCTTTCTTTTGTTTTGTTTTTCCAGTCCACTTCTTTCCAACCTTACCCCCAATTTTATCTCTTGCAAAAAAAAGTCATATTGCAGGCATCATTAAAAGACTCTGTTAAAAAACAATTCTGCACATGTCTCTAGGGTACAATAATTTGTTTTAGCACACGCCATTTTCACCCCTGCTCCAATAGCCACCTGCTGATGGCAATATGTTAACTAATATGTCATTATTAATTAGTTGGGGTAATATCATCCAGCAGTAGCATCTAAATGGATAGAAAGTATTATTATCGACGCTCAGGAAGTTTCTTTCTCCAGAGAATCAAGCTATTTTCAGGTCTTTTTTCCCCTGTAACACTAAGTAACCATATCTTACTAGGAATTAATATATTCAACAGCCAATACAAAAATGCATGAGTTTTTTTCACGTTCAATCTACAGATATGCTACAAAAAGAGTATAACCGACTACCCGTACTTGTGAAAATACTTCTCTAGTAAATATATTTCCAAATCAAAAAAATTTTAATATATTCAAATAGTCACTCATACAAACCCACAACCAAGCCAATGCCTCTATTAAAACACTGCCTGTTATGAACTGTGAAAAACCATGTTCAATTCATCCTGACAAAACTAGGTTTTGTAGGGGGCCAGCCCGGTGGCCGAGTGGTCAAAGTTCTGGCCGGGTTCACGGGTTCGGATCCCGGGCACAGACTTACTCCACTCATCAGCCATGCTATAGAGGCATGCAACATACAAAATGGAGGAAGACTGGCATGAATGTTAGCTCAGGGCAAATCTTCCTCAAGCAAAAAAAAACAAAGAAAAAAAAAGGAAGATTGGCAATGGATGTAATGGCAGGACAAATCTTCTTCACCAAAAAAAAAAAAAAAAACCTAAGTTTTTTGGGATGAGCGATAGGAAGGCACCTTAATATAAAGAAGGCAAGACTACTTGGTTTTTAATGTTCTAGTAAGTGAATAAATGAAAAATATTACACCAAAAATTATATTAACTATATAGTGCAAGGAAATTAGCGATTTCTATCAGAAAAACCAGACAGAGCCCCAGGTTACAGCATTAGGGAGTTACTAAAACCTTAGAAAAACCACAGCTAGGATTAGGAAAAGAGTCACATAGGGAGGAGGCAGCATCCTCATGTGACATTCTTATTAAAGGACAGAGGAGGACATTCTTATTAAAAGGACAGAGCCTCAGACGTCTGCCCAGCTGCATGTAGCTCTGCCTGAAGTCAGGAAGATGGCCTCACCCACCTGTAAAGGTCATTTCATTCTAGGAACCTAGAAAAGTAAAGAAAATGCCTTTGGCTGGGTTATCATCCAGCAAGGGCAGACACCCCCCATATTAAACTCATCAAAGATGAGGACGGACCATGAAGTCATTCACGAAACCAGCATCAAGCTAACAGCCTCCGAAACCTCTTGTCTTTGGTTCAACAGAAACAAATCGCATTCATTAAACAAGCCCAGCCTTGCAATTTGCTATTTTTCATTCTTTGCAGGAGAGGGCGGGAGGCAGACAAACAGGATTTCCGCAGTTGGTCCTGGAGAGTTTCAAGATGTGAGAGCAGTCGCCGAGAACAGTAATTAGCTGAACACATGTTGCTTCACGATCAGAGGAAACGTGAGTAATTTCCCCGTTCTGAATGCTCCCTCAAGCTCTGGCGGCTGACACTCGTTGTGACATCCCCGATCCCGCTCCTGATAGGTCCCCCTCTTCAAGTAGAATAGAAACGAACAGATTTTTAAAATTCTGACCAGATTTAAGTAGAAAGCTGTTGAAAATAAGTCTTATGGACAAATAAGCATTGGCAGTCCACCTCATTTCACAGAGCTGCTCCCACCACCACACGTTTTTCTTATTTCATTTTCCCCCTACATTATCTGGCATACGCCTGCAAAGATAAAAGCTTTTTCTTCACTCCACTGAGAAAAATAATAATCTTTCGATGTGTTTATAGTCTTCTTTGGATATAGCACTACGTTGTCTTAAAAATCACGAGAGGAATTGCCTCAAATCTGGTTCTTTCTCAAAATTCATGAAAGCCGACCTCTGCAACAATAAATAGCAAGTTATATTTTTGGTTCTATTAATGCTCCTGGAGTTTTGTTATTTTTAAAGACAGAGTTTCTAAAAAATGAATGCCAGCCGTTTGTAATGTGCCAAATTATATCTCCCTATTTCTAGAAAAACATTGCCAAGAAGTTTATAGGCCAGTTGGCCTAATTCTCTCCTCTCTGCTTTTGAGACCACTCTTGATCACGAGTTCTTATGTTAGGATCACCCAAGTCTAATTCTCGGGCTGAACTGTGATTTTCTGAGTTTTATTTATTCTAGGCTTTTATGGGGGCTGAGAGGGGTGGGGGCAATTCTCTCATTTCACAGATATTTGGCAATTCTCCTAATCTATGTTAGAGTTCTGATCTGAGAAATAGAGAGGGGCAGAAAAAGTTATCTAATGAATAAAGAAACTATTATCCTGTGGTTAAAAATTAAGATTTATGTGATTACTTTTTTTCTCAGTTGAATATTCTGATTGTTTTACTGACTTCAATTCTGTTAACTCCTTTTAGGCTGCAATTTCCCCCTTAAATAAAGGCAATCAGAGTTATACGTAGGCTAAACCATTTAGAAGTCATTTCTCCATTGGATATTATTCTAAAGGCTGTTGCTCCATTGCAGTTGGAGAACAACAGACATAAATTCCCCATTTGATTGCTGGGATCAAAAAATAAAACTCGTAACTGTACACTAATGAGCCATGCAATTTCCTTACAACTAGGGGGGTGCTGTCTCATAGGAAAAAATTAATAACGATGGTATAAATGCTGCCTTCTTTCCTCTTGAATGGCATAAGCGTCACAAAGCTGAACCTTTGGGGGTCGGTGATAAGACACAAGACTTTTTTACCTCATGACTTTCTCAAGCTAAGTTTACCAACATTGGGCCGTGTCACACTGTCCTATCATTTGGGGACCAAGGAAGGCTGGGAATTTGCTTAGAAGGAGGGGGCTTCAACACAGCCTCATTTTACCTGCAAACTTCTCCGAGGGCAGAAACCGCATTTCACACTTCTTTATATCTCCCGCAGCAACATCGTATATAACATCACACACTACTACTGCTGATTGATTGAATCCCCCACAGCATTGCTTTTACATACAATTTCTCACTAAACAAAGTTCCTACGGGGAAATTTTAGTCAAGCAAGTCAGATGAGGGTATATTTTCCTTTGCCTATAAAACAGAGAAAGTATTATCCATCTGTGTTCACTAAAGCCACGTGTGTCTTCATGGTCATCTTTCGGTTCCCCAAAAGGCCTCTGAGGGTCTCCTCTCAGCAGCTGCGCTGGGGAAGGCCAGGCTGCCTTCCAGACCCAACAGGCTGGAGAATGCGACGTTGTTATACAATTAGCTGGCATATATGTCCTTTTTTCTGCTAGAGGAAGCTTACAGGGTACATTCCCCAGGGACTCTACAGACTAGAAAAATGTTTGTCCTACTCCAGAATGATCTACGTGCATTTTCTTTTTTCGACTTCAAACACAAAATACCCAAATGCTATATAAACTGTTCTCCACAACCATCCTATCTGTCTTCATCCTCAGTGTGCCCTTGGTGAGGCCTGATTTACTATCTAGTTCCTGGAACAAATTCAGTGGGTTATAGTAAACCACACTGCTTCTCCCCACCTCCTCTCGACCCACACGGGTTCTAACCTTCACTCAGGATTTATCTGCAGGTTTTCAGCAACTGGAAAATAATCTGGAGAGGCTGAAAATTGTCCTACCCACTTATTATTCAGAAATTTCTCAGAAACGAATTCAGAGATAAAAGACAAAGCATCTTTGTTTATGCCATCCTCAGGGCATTAACCGATTTTATAATTTTTCCAACTGCATAGCTATGTGAATTCCCGATTTCTTAAAGCACGTTGTTATACCCATCACTGAATATTCTGAATATGCTCAATTCCCACCCAGAGAATAGCCCACAGGGT